ATGAAATTTGCCAAGAAAATAATGTGATTAATATATTCAAATAAAGATAATAATAAAATAAATATAGAAAGATAAGTAATACAAAAAAGAAAAAGAAAAAAATAGAAAGAAATAGAAAGAAGTAAAATATTATCAAACTAATTATATAATTCAAATATCATTATGACTAATTTTTATCATAACTATGTCTTCTATTCATGTGTTCTTATTGAATTATTGATATTGAATCAGTGACAATGCTATAATTGTGAAAAAGTGAACATTTTGTTAAAGATTATTATAGTAATTACAATAATAATAATAATAATGAAAGAAATAATTACAACAATAATAAAAATAATAATAGTAATAATAATAATAATAATTATAATTGCAATTATAATAATTGATAACCTAGTAACTTTGAAAGAATGAAAAATTCTAATAATCAATATGATAATCTTTTACAATAATTAGAATAACTAATTCAATTAAATAATCAATAATCTTTCAACAAGAACAATAATCAATATTTAAACTAGAAAATGCACTTTTAGAAGATGAGAATGCATCCAAAATTATAAAATCTTTAACTAAACAAAAATTGAAACAATTATTATTTAACAATCAACAATCAACAAGAAAATGATAATAATAATAATAATAATAATAATAATAATAAACATAATAATAATAATATATCAGTTGATGCTGTTTATTATATTGAAGTTGTTGAAAATAAATCAAAAAGTATAATTATTAATAGTAAATCAGTTAATAATATTATATTAAAGAAATTTTTAAAAGAAATAAATCAAAATATTACTAAATCATCAAATATTTAATTGATTGAAATTAGTAAAAATCAGAAACATCACTTAATTTTCTTATAATTAAAACATAGAATTAATTATGAAAATTTTTACAATAATTTGTCAGATTAAATCTAAAAAATTCATTATACTTTTATTTTGATATAAAATAAAACAATTTTTATTAATAAAATTAAAAATTTTTATATAAAATAAATATTTAATTTTGTTATATTTTATTAATAAAATTGTATAAGCAATTTTATAACTTATATTTATTAATAAAATTTCATAATTATATTAATTATTGTATTTTGCAATTAGAAAATTAAATGCAAAAAATCTGTAAAAATATACTAAAATATAAAGCATAATTTTATTTAAAAATTTTTATAAATAAATTTTTGAAAATAAAATTATCTTTTATTAAATTGAATATAATAATTCAAAATTTAAGACTTCAAAATATATCTATAAGTTTGATAATATTGCATTTTTTGAATGTTTCATTTACAAGTCTACAAGTGTGATTTAATTGAAATGATACGATATGTGCCATGGCACAGATCATCAGGTGAATCACATGATCTGACACGAAATTTTGGCCAAAGTAAATATTAAATAAAAAAACATATATACATTATTTGAATTTTTTTAATAGGAATAATATTAAATTATCCATCCCCAACAATACTAATAACTCGAATAAAATAATAAGGTAAACAGCAAACCAACAAACAAAAAAAAACAAATACTACCTATAAAAAAGTACTTATATATTAAACCTAGATATTATTATATTAATTCTAATTATATGTTAATTCGAAATCTTCCTTTTTCGTCAGTTAAGTCCACGTATATTTATTAGCGATTCCTTGTACTTTTGGTAGATTACCTCGTCGCGCCTAGTTCTCACCAGCTCGCCTATTAATTTCGAACAAATATCTATGTCTGGTGATAATGTGTGTAACAAAACGGGTTTACGAAGTATACACTTTGCGAGGTAAAGTGACGAAGAAGCAATAACCGATGGTAAACGATCGATGAAATGCTCGAATAGCAGCGTGTGTTCCATTAAATATCGTGCCAACGCCAATGTCTTAGTATCCAATAACCCATTACTAGATTCGAATTTCAAGAATCCTTCCGCGGTCGGAGACCAAAACCTCCAAAAAATAGCCTTACAAACATGTTTTTCCATCTGTGTAAAGTATTCACGCGGGTATCCTTTACCACACAAATGTATCAATCGATCTATAGTTGGGACTTTGTCGCGTGTCTCGAGATATTTTATGGCAATCCAAAGACTGGTGATCGCGACTAATTGTAAATGTTTATTATCGACTCGTGCTACCGACAAATATTGATCTAATATATTGACCGCGAGGTACAATGATTCATCGCTTAGTTCGTTTCCCTCACTGAAATAAATATGCACCTCAATAATCCAGCGGATCACTCGTTTTCGCATGTCCCATGTGATCTCTGGTTGTTCCGCGATCATTTCGTATCTTGGCATACATTGGAGTTCTTGTTCGAGCATGATTTTCTCGGTTTCGTCGACCTCGTCTTTGTCTGCTTCAAGCCAAATTGAATTATCAAAACGGCATTTTACAAAACGATTACGACAATGATTTGGTGATAATAATGAAGACATTGAGGATGCGTTAGTAGATGCATCTATTAAGTAATTCGTCGTTAATGGGGTAGTTTGCTGAATAAAAGTATTAGTTGTAGCAGCAATAGTATTCATGGCTCGCGAAGACGAAAACGTGGCATAATATTCTTTATTCTCTTTGTCTGGATCCGGCGAGTAGGCAGTGGAAGTCGAGGAAGGATATTCTGCAAGTTCGTCGACCAAAGTCTCGATGTCATCATCGTAGTAGACGTCGCCCTCATCGAAATTCTCTTCGAAGATATCATTATCATAGTTTTGATAGTAATTAGATTTGTACGAAACGTCCGTTAGACGCGTCTCGGATTTTTTTTTATTTTGTAGTTCATGTAATATCGTTTCTTTAGAGGTGTGTAATTCCGTTGCTGCTACCGAATACATTTTTAATAAAAAAACGCGTTATTATTATTAAATTTAGCTTGCGGTATTGAGGTTGAAAAGTTTTAACTACTATTAAAAAAAAGAAAAAATGGGGTGTAATGTAGACGGGGTTAGTGTATGGTGACTCTAGATTTTTTGTTTCAACATCATGCTATTATTCTTATTATTGATATTAAATTATTATCATTATCTTCTTTAATGGTCTGCCAACTAAGGCTTTTTATAATGGAGGTTACACCCAAGACCGTTGTCGAAACCTTGCATCATCTGTTTTCTTGTTGGGTAGCGAGGAGAGTACCCGAGTTCGGAGTTGGATACTGACGCCCAATTAGTCAAATAATATGCGTCAAATATGAATAAGATGAATAAGATCTTTCGTAATTGACGGCTATCTTTAGAAATAGCAATAGGTAGTTTTATCGTCAGCCAAGCCGTTTCTCAATAATCCGTCAAAAACAAGTTCAAGTCAAATTGATTGCTCCTCCCTTACGCTCATGTCAATCAGTTATATGCGAAAATTTTTCTGAACCCCGGCAGAAATTGGAAAGTTCGAGAATATCTCATGTTTCATGCAAGATAAAAAATCCGAATTTTTATGCACATGACATGGTGCATGGCAAGTGCATTATGTCGATCTGACCTGAATTCTAAAATTGCATTTTTCCAACAATGACCAGCAAAAACTTGAATGCACTCCTAATTAAAGTGAAACAGTTAATTCCACCACTTTCGGCTGATTTTCATAAAGGTCAAGCAGGTAAACTAAGAGTGTGAAATAGTAAAGATTAAGCTATCACACTTCAATTTAACATAATGCCCATTTTATTAGGTAGAATCTGCGTTATTGGTGGCTCAGAGGAGTACATTTTCAAAATTTTTATGTAATTCCATGTAAAAATGTTTTCATCAAAAGAATTAACCAGATAAATATTTGAATTTTTGTCGCTAGATATACCGGTGCACCATACTTCAGCTCAATGGCCGCTTTAAGGATTGCAAGTGATTCAAATCAAATCAAATCAATTTAATTGATCTTACGCGCGTTTGAAAAATTCGAAATGTCTCATAGTTTCTCAAATTGTGCGTTTTGTCTGGTGGAATTGGTCATAAAATATAGGGCGCCGATTTGAGTAGTATTATATGTGAACCTGGAGCAGCTGTACCAATTAAGGTTCGGAACGAATTTTCTATCAAGGATTTTTTGTATCTTGCGCTAGAGTCATTTTTATTTATATATTAACGATTCGTGATGTTAGAGTTATGCACCAGGTGATATCAAATTTCCAGATTTTTAATTTTACGCAATTAAACTATATCATAACTAATTTTTTAAGTAAATTAGATTTGATGGTATATCCGTATATGCGCACCTCAGAGTTAGTATGCGAAAGTCTAAATAAAAAAAAAGTTAATTAGTCAGAATCGAAGTAACTAAATATTTTCAAATTCAAACTTCAAATCCATCCGCATGTAAAAAGGAAGAATTACTCTCAAACACCGCAACAAATCACGACAAAGGTAGCAGAACTCTTTCCACGGATGCACGTAATAGTTGTTGGTCCCGGTCTATCACGAGATAAGCTTATGCAAGAATGTGCGCGAGGAATTATTACAAAAGCCAAAGAAAAAGATTTAGCAATAGTTCTTGATGCGGTATGTCTGTGAAAAAAATGCGTAAAAAAAAAAACCAAACCCATTTTGAATACAATTGTTGATATTTAAGTTTTGATTTAAATTCGAAAACTAACAAAAAAAGGATGCTTTATTCCTCGTCCAAAACCATCCTGACGTTGTTAAAAACTATAAAAAAGCAGTATTAACACCTAATGTTAACGAGTTTAAGCGGCTTTGTGAGGCATTGGTAATATTAAAAGCATTGATGTCATTGATTTTTTTTAATCGTCGTTGTATTAGCTAAAATTCTTTAATCTTTTAATTTTTTTGATTAGAATGTAGGATTTGATGAAAGTCAAAAAGGTGGAACTGCGCAAAGATTGAGTCAAGCTTTAGGTGGTGTGACTATTGTACAGAAGGGAAAAGTTGATGTGATTTCAAATGAAGAACAAAGTATGGGGCTTTCTTTCTTAATTTTATGTGGATATACGTACTTCGGATCTTTTTATATTATAAAAATTGATATTTTTTCAGCACTTTGCTGCGACATCCCTGGAGGCTTAAAAAGATGCGGAGGACAAGGAGATATTTTATCCGGTGTCATTGCCACATTCTTAGCTTGGGGAAAAGCCTATCAAGCAGGATTATGGGAGTACGCTCAAAAAAATATAAATATTTTTTTCACTTTCTCGATGCCATCAAAATAAATTTTTTTCTTTTCCTTTAACTAGACACGATCAATCAATTACCGCATCCGAAATACCACTACTAGCTAGTTTTGCAGGATGTAAAATTGTGCGTGAATGCTCGCGAGTTGCTTTTGAAAAATTTGGCCGAGCAACTCAGACTTCGGATATTCTTAAGGAACTTGGTTCAGTTTTTCAAAAAGATTTTGAAAGGTAATCAAGTCATCTATTAATCATTTATCGGATCACTCTTTGTATTATTAATTTTCAAAATTCGTACTTTTCTGAATTCCTTTTCTTTGATTTGCACCTGAATGATTTGTCTGTTGATTTATCACAAGCTCAAAGCTCTAGTTCAAAATGTTCAAAATATTATTACTGTTGTTGTAGTTTACAAATTATACAAAAAACATTGAATATGAATTTTGCTAATTTTTGCCAGAATTATACATGTACTGTAATATCTACATCATCATCAACACCAAGTTTCATTTTTGAATGATCAAATCCAATGTCATTTGATGATGCAAGAGAAGCATTAAATCGTGCTAGAATGCTAATTGGACATATGCTTGATCTTGTAAGCAACGAAAGCTTTGAAATGTAACAAAACAGAGTTTAATATTCAGAAAAAAACGTGAAAGTGTTGTAAGATATAATTGAGCATTTATTATTTTATTATTATTTTTATTATCTTCATAAAATTAGCATTATTCAAGTCGTCTAGAAACAAAAGTTAGACGATACTAATACGTATACATATATCGATATATTTAGGATCGTTGTCTAGGCTTATTTTTCACTCCACCAATACAAATTTTATTCCCATCCCTATCGTCGTTATTAACATAAAACAAATAAAATTGCATTTTATTTTATCGAAAATAATTCACAATAAGATAAAAATTTCTTGGTAATAATCCACACATCACGCATTTTGCATATATATAAGTATTTTATTATCATTATCATTTTCCTTTTCCTTTTCATAGATTATTTATTATTAACATAAAATGTAACAATTATAATCTCAAATAATCAATCAAATAGTAATTTTTTTATAATAGTACAAAAAAAGAATTATATAAATAAATATTTTTTAGTAATGCAAATATAAAAATTCATTTTATTTGCTAATTAATTTTTAGAGAATTAATATATAAATTCATTTATCTAACTAAATATATCTTAGATAATTGATATTTTTTATTTTTATATTATATAAATAATATTAATATTATTCAACATTATAAAGTAATAAATATTATAAATATAGAATTAAAAATTAAGAATTAAGTTAACTCAAATAATGTAATTATTAGAATTAACTTGATTCAAATTAATATATTTAATAATTGGTTTGAGTATATATAATATTCTGTTACTTTCAAAACAAATACAACTATTTTTCTTTTTTTTCATTTAGCAAATTCTGGCTAAATAAGTTTTTTATTTTATATTAAGTATTTTTATTAATTGTTAAAAGTAAATTTTAGTATTATTTTTAATTTTTAGCACTTAGTTTTTTGTTTTATTGAAATTAAAATTAGTTTTCAATTTGAATTCATATTGATAATATTATTAATAAGTATTTGATATTTTTTATTAATAAAACACTCAATTTTTTGTTTTGTTAAGATTTTAATTAATAAATATTTAGCATTTCTTTTAATTAATAAATATTTAGTATTTCTTTAAATTAATAAGATTTTTAATTTTTTTATTCATTAATATTATAATAAATTTCTTTAAATTACAACTAATTTTTAATTTAATTTTATTAATAATCTTAATATATAATTTTTTTATTAATAAAAAATCTGAATTTTTTATTTGTTAGTATTGTTATAAAAATCAGTAATTTTATAATTTATGATATTTTACAAAATTATGAAACTCATACAAAAAACTTAAAATATTGTTATGATTTGATTTTTAGAGCTCTTCTTAATGTTATTATTAATTATAACTTGTTTTTAATCAATTATCTATTTTAGTTTTAGTTGTTAATTTTGATTCAATTACTTTAAAATCAATATATAATGCATCTTCTTCTATTTTATTTAATAAAATAAAATATTACTATTACTAATAAATATTTTTTTTGTATTTACTTAGTATGTGAACAATTTTATAATAATATAGTATTAATATTTTATAATAATCTGATTAAATATCTAGTATTATATAATAAATATTATTATAATAATAATATATTATTTATTTAAATTATTAGTTAAGCTAATTACTATAACTTGCTTTTCTATAACTACAAAATTAGCTATATTTATATCTAATATTTTTTATTAATAATTAAAGATATAGTTAATTTTTAAGTAATAATAGATATTTTTAATAAATCAAATAATTTTGCTATCTTTACAATTTCTAAAATTTCAAGTTATACAAATCATGCAAATCATGCAAATTATATAAATTATAAAAATTAAAAAATTAAAAAATTAATTAAAATAATAATAATAAATAATAAATCACATGTAAAATTATATATACAAGTCACATATAGAAATTATATATCAAAATTATATATTACACATAAAAATCATATAATTTCAAATTTTTCCAATAAATTAAATAATAAATAATTAAATTAATTATTAAAAAATATTAAATATAATAAAAGTAAGTAAATATTAATAAAATAATTATATTATAAAATATTTGAACTATAATTATATTTTTTAATTATATTATATATTATTAATTATTATATTTATTTTTTTATTTTTTTTTACTTTTCTACTTTTAGATTATTAACTTATTTTATTATTACTTATTTATCTACTTATCTATTTTTCTATTTATTTTGAATAAATATAACTTAGCCAATTATAAATATTTGAAATATATATATATTTATTTATTTTCTTCTTTATTTTTTTACTTTTTATATTTAGTAAATTGAAATTTTATTTTTAATTAGCATATTTATTTTTTATATTTTTTTCTTGTTTTTAATATTATATTAGTATTCACAAAAAATATATAAATATAAATTGTAATTAAATTTAACTCAAAATATTAAAACTTGAAAATAAATAATATAATAAATTAAATACTTAAATAATTTATATTTTTTTCTCAATAATATATTTTAAAACTTATAAACAAATAAATTTAAATTATATTGAGCTAATTAAAATATTATTATTATAATATTTGTTATAAACTAGTTTTTTGATATTGAATTATTTGAAATTTTTCAATCAAAAATATTGTAATCTTTTTTTGTAAGAAAAATGAAATAAAAGAGTTCTTATTATTTTTGTTATTTATTTAGCTTTGAAATATATTTTATATTAATACTGAGAATCAAAATTAAAAATTTAGTAAATTAATTACAATCAAATCTTTCTATAGTTATTACTCTCAAAAAAGCAAAATTTGATAACTATAGAGAAAATATGACTATAAAGAAGTTTTTTTTACTGTATTTATATATAAATAGAAAAGCAAAATAGAGTAACTATAGAGAAATATAATTATAAATGAATATAATTATAGAGAAATTTAATTGTAATTAGAATATCTTATTTAGTTAATATAATTAATCAAAATATTATATATTATTATGATATAAATATTTAGTCATATTTTACTGATAGATTTATATTATAAGTTAATTGAACAATAATTTAATTAAGATTATTAGACAATAATTAAAATAATATCATTAAACAAGATTTAAACTATTAATAATTAGTTTACTGAACTATATAAATAATGAAAGTGATTCAAATAATAATAATGATCCAAGTGATCCAAATGATAACAATAATAAAAGTGCTAGAAATCAATTATATAATAGTTAAATTAGATCCATTAATTTGTTATAAATATAACTTATATCTTAGTTTTAGAAAATAATCTTATTACTTTAATTATTCTATTATTAAATAACTTAATAAAGTTATATTTAATATTGATTTTGATTTTAAAAGATAAATAATCAATTATTATATTTAACTTGAAAGACAGTCACTTGATAAACTTATTATTTATATCATAATTTTTGAAGTTTTATTTATAAAATTTTAGTAAAATTATTGAATATTATTCTAGCTTATCACAACAAGAATATATATTATCTATCTTTAGTAATAGTTTTTAGTTTTTTCCACTATAAAACTTAATCTCTTTTACCTTTTAGTTAATAGAAATATATAAATAATACATTAAGTACTCAAAGCTTATAAAAATAATAACAATATAATTAAAATTTTATTATTTTATTTCTTATATTTTATTTCTTTTTTGAACTATATAATTTTAATAAAAGTTGATATAGAACTTAGATATATTTTTTTATTAATTTTATATTTGTTTAATTTTCTCTTTCATATTTATTAGCTAATTTTATAATTAATAAAAAATATGTAATAGTATTATTAAAATTCTAAAAAAAAGTCTGAACAAAAGTTCAGTTCAAAAATTTGAATCTAATTAAAAGTCTAATTTCAAATTTTGAATCAGATTTAAATTTGATCAAAAGTTCAAGTAAATATTTGTTAATATTCTAAGTAAAGTTTTAGATCTTAATATAAGCTACAAATTAATATAAAATAGTTAATATTTAGAATGAATATTTAAAAATTTATAAATAATTTTAATTATTATAATTTTAATTTGCTTTAGTTTTAGTATAATAAATAATTATAAATTATAGTTATAAATAAAATTATAGCCAGAAATAAAAACTACAAATTGGTATAAAATAGTTATTATTAATAATAATTATTTGGAGAGTTACATAGTATTTACAATCAAATTTAATAAATATAAAAATAAAAATATTTTAGTTATTATTATTGTTACTATTTTATCTTTTATTATTTTTTTAATATGTATTTATTATCAAAAGTATAATAATATTCTTTCTATTATTTTTTATTTTTTTTTATATTTTATAATTTTCTTTTATTATTATTCAATAACAATAACTTATATTTTTATTCAATCAATTTTCATTATATTGCATTATTTTTATCTAAATTTTATTATTATTTATTTAACTAATTAATTTCATATTAATTTATATTTTAAATCTTATTGATACTTTATTTTTATCTCATATTATATTAATTTAATTAATGATATATTAATATTATATAATAATTATCATGTTTCAACATGTTATAGATCTATATTTTTATTGATTTTTTTTGTAATCTATATATATAAATAACATATAACTCAAATTCATTATATATATAATATGAAAATTAACTTGAAATAAACTAAGAAGATTATATTTTGATTTTTAACTTTCATTTTGTCTTGTTCCTTTTTGTTTCTTTTATTTACTTTATTTTTGTTTTGTTTATTTTATTTTCTTATTCTTTTATTGTTTTCTATTGTTTTTCTCTTATTTCCTTTTTGTTTATCTTTGTTTTTGTCTTAGTCTAGTTTCAATTATTATTATATTATCTTTATCTTTTATAACTATATTTTTAATTTTAATTTATATCATATATTTAGTTTTAGCATTACTTTATTATTACTTAAATATATTTAATATTTACTTTAAATCTATATTCTTGTTAATTTATTATTATCAATTATCTACTATTATTAATTATATTATTTTTAATTAAAATTTGCTGTAAATACAATTATTATTAACTATTTTTAAATATTCTTATATATAGAAACTATTATGTAAACTTTTAATTCTTACTAAATCTCATAAATTGTGCTTATAAATAAAGTTATAATTTATATTTAGAGTTACAAATCAATATATGATATTATATACTGATCTTTAATTGAACTCAAACTTATATAATGATTTAGTTTGAACTCTAAATCTTTGTTAAACTCAAACCAAAGTCTGATTTGAGTTTAATTTGAATTTTGAACTAAACTCAAATTTAGGTAAAAGTTTAATTTAGTTCAATTTATAAAAATACTAAGTATTATTATAAATTTCTTTAATTATTATATAATATAGAAATAATCATTTTTTTTTCTTCTCAAATGAGATTTTTATTATATTTAATTTGCTAATTATTTTTGATTACATGAAAGATGATATTTTTGAATTTCTTTTTTCCTCTCTAATAATTATATAATATATATACTCTTTTAATTGCAAATCTCAATTTGATTTTAATTAATAATATTATTAATAAATATAATATATAATATTTTTTTGTTAATAAAATATTTATTTATTTGTTATTATAAATTTTTTAATTATAATTTATAATTTGATTTTATATTATTATTATTATTAATAAATATAATATAATTAATTTTTTTTATTATTAATTTCTTTAATATTAATATTTTTTTATTATTAAAATTTATTACAAAATATATTTTACTTGAATTATTAACTCTCTTATATATTAATAAAATACTTGATTTTATTATATTGAAAATAAAGAAAGTTAATTATATATAATATTTTTTTATTAATAAAATATTTAGTTTTTTATTTTATTAATATTATTATAAACTTTTCTAATTGTGAATTTTTAATTTAATTTATAATTTATATAACAAAATATAATTTAATAAAAGATTATTTAAAATTAAGAAATTCAATAATATAAAATTTAAAAATTTAGAGTAAATTTTGTTAATAATATATCATTATTATTATATTTTTTATTATTATTATTTTATATTAATATTTTGTTACTAATTTTATATTAAATAATATTGTTATTATATTTTATAAGTTCTTGAATAAGCTGAAAAGTATTTAATAATATTATAATAAGTTACTTGATTAGAATAATTATAGTAAAGTTTAATAAAAATTATAGTAGAAGAATATAATATAATTAAATCAAATTTATATAATATATTAAATATTAAACTATAATTATAATAAATTTAAAGAAAAATAACAATATATTTATAATATAATTAACTAGAATAAAGAATTTTATATAATAAATATATAAGTTTATTATAAGTAAAGATGATACAGCAACTGTTATAACATGATGACAAATAAAGCATCACCTAGTTACAACTAGTTGTAGCTTATAAATTTTGGAGTTGCAACATGTTGCAATGAGTGACAAATAAGCATTACATATTTGCTGCATCATTTCTAATTATAAGATTATAATTTAATAATAATAAAATATAATTTTATTATTAAATAAATTTATTATTAATTTATTATATATTTTTAATTGTTCTTGAGATTCTAAAAACTATAAAATCTATCTAAATTATTAGCTAAGATATATAGTTAAACTTTTCTATAATCATACTTTTTTATAATTATATTATTTTATTTTTTCATTTAAATATAAATATAATAAAAAAGATCTCTTTATAGTCACATTTTCTTTATAGTAATCAATTTTGCTTTTCTGAAGGTGATGACTAAAGATGACACAGTAACTATTGCAATATGATAATAAATAAAGCATTATCTAGTTGCAACTAGTTGCAACACATTGCAACTTCAAAATTTTATAAGCTGCAATAAGTGACAAATAAGCATTATATATTTGCTACGTTATTTTTAGTGATAACTTAAATTTTTTCTAAAGAAGTTGTTCTAATAATAAAATTATTTCAAAAACTTTTTTTAATTAAAAATAAAATTTAATTAGAAAAAATTTTTGCAATAACTTTGTTATTAGAATAACTTCTTTAGAAAAAATCTAAAAAATCCAAAAAAAATATATATTAAACTATAACTTATGAATTTATTTTAATATAAAAACAAAAATATTTCTTAATAAAATTATAAACTTAATATAAAGAAAAAATCTCAATTTTTACTATATTTTATTAATAAAATTGATCTCTGATTGCAAACTTTTGTTCACTGAGTGTACATGATTTATAAAAGAAATAATTAGAATTATAACAATAACTAGAATAAAATTGTTAAGATTTTTTAAATACTTGCATGATAAGAAGTTTACAATTTCTTTAGGATGAAACATTATAGGTAATACAAATTTTTTACTTAACTGATTTCTTAGATTTACTAAACCTTATTTTAAAAATAGGCTCACTTTGAGTAATACATGTACATGTGTATTATATTACTCGAAACTGTTTGTTATCTAAATTAATAGGATTTTATATTTTAGCATGTATCACCATATAAAATTGAGATTAACGGATAACATTTTTTTTATAATCATATATTGAATTTTATTTAAAGGTTACGTAATTAACTTATTAAAAAAACCGTAATTTGATTAGTTACATGTATTTGAATAATTTGCATCAATGATAAAAAATATAATAAAAATAAAAAAGATAAACAGCTGTAGCCATTATTTAATGAGCTTCAAAAATAGAAGGAGTTACCGTAGACTTTTGCCCTTCAGGCTTATCAAATTCTATGAAATTCAAACCAGAAAGGTCATTTTCACATTGCAATGAAGTCGGATCTTGTTGATGAAGCATAACGTTTTGATTATGTTGGATTTCAAATTCTCGAGCATCTCGAGACTCATCAAATGGAAAAATATTATTCCAGCTTGGTGCCTGGAAATTTAAAGTATCCAAAAGCCAAATATCAGAAGAAATAGTTGGAATATTACGTGGAGATTGAAGGAAAGTCTCAGAGTTCTGATCCTCATAGTTGAATTGAGACTCGCTTGTCTCTTGAGAAAAAACTTGAATATTGTCCGTGGTGGAATATAATTGATAGTTCATAGAATTTGAATCAGAAGGTTCAAACGAATATTGATTATTGAAATCTGTAATCTGAGCGTTGTGGATTTGATAAGAGGAAGAATCTGAATAATCATTCCAAATGCTCGCTAATCTAGCTGGCCATTCGTATTCAGAGAAGGGCTCAAAGAGTTCTTCATCATATAAGTTGTCTATTATCATCGGAGAAGCCGAAGCCTCAACAAGCTTATTGACGATTGCTGGAGAAACTTGTTGCGCTTGTTGCTTCGAAAGATCCTCAATTCTCGAAGTTTCAATGATCATGGAAGAATCTTCAATAAGTGCGTTATCAATTGAAATGGAAATTTCTTCTTGCTGTTGCGTATTTTTTGCTGCATCGAAAGTGTGGGAATCCGTTGATGAACTTGAGTTCGCTGACGAATTGAAATCTACGGCTGCCTTTTGTTCATTTTTGACTTTATTCGCGCGCATTTCCACCAACTCGATATTAATCTGACGAGCCATTTCCTTATAGGCTTTTTTGACCTTAACAGGTTCACGTTGCCAGGATTGCGACGCCATCGCCGAGACCAAATTTAGCTTAAGTACACATCCTCTATTACGGAGCTCTTTTTGAAATGCGCGTCTATAGATGATAAAGCAATTTGGTGATTTCATGGGAATTTTCCCATCTTTAAGAGTGATACATTCACTAGTTGTAATTTGTGGAGGAAAGGGAACTCTGAAATCACTCAAAGGGGACTGTTCTTCATCGTATTCTAACGCTTTACTATTATTAGGATCAATTAAATTGTCAGTTTTCGAATTAGACATTTCACTTGGAAAGTGACTTAAATTTCTATGAATCTCTCGTCCAATCTCCAACAAAATATCCGTACAAGTTTTATATTTTTTCACACGCTTTAAAGACTCCGTTAATCTATAATAATAACAATAATAATAATAATAATAATAATAATAATAATAATAATAATAATAATAATAATAATAAAAATAAAGTATTAATAACAACAACACATAATAACAGAAAAAAGACGACGAAAGTTCTTGTGTCCAAGAAGTAAACTGCGGAATAATTAACCTTATTAACAACGATAATATTAGGACAAATGATTATCTTTAACAGGTTATAGAACTGGCAAAAATGTTACAATACGTAGATTCACTGCGTCTTTTATTCATACGTAACCACGTGTTATATATCAAAATTGCTTTACCCCTAGATCTAGCTAAATTCTTGGTTGATCATACAAAATTTCGTGAGAAATCAAATACACTCGGAAATATAAAAATTTAAGATCCAAGATACGTTTCGAGATTATCAATAAACGTAAAAAGGAAAAGAAGTAGTTTAGACAATGAATGTTATCGTTATAATAAACTGTAATTTCAATAATCGTCAGAGAAAGTTCTTTATTGACACTTTCATTGGCGGAAAATTAACGTTAATACGTACGTATATACTGTGGCTGCATAAACTGATAAACTGAGTACAACATTATCAATAGTTGAATACCATATTTGGAATTAGATTCAATATTATTGGTTGGTCTTACTTATGGGTTACTTTGATCGACTCGTTTCTGGGTACAAGAGGAATACCGCATTTGGAATTAGCTTTATCGCTATTGGCTTGTGAAAGATTCACAAAATTTGGCTGTACAAAAATCATAAGTTTCATTTGTCATTGTTTTAGGCTTTAACATACTGAATATGTATAGTTTGTGAGCTCATTTAAAACTATAAAAGCACATTTCTCCGTTTTTTCCTTTTTTTCTATGAGCTCAGCCTTAGGCAAAATAATATTTTTGAGAATCCGCAAAAACTTTTTCTTTTTTCTTCTTTTAATACATTTTACCAATGGAAGGCAGGTCGTGTTATATACAGTGACTCTCATTAAACCGGAGCTGTGTTAAGCAAGATTTGTCCTATTGTGAAGGAATTTCAATTAACCGGATTCATTTGAAAAATCATAATAACGATAAACCTTAACCCGATATCTCGATAAACCAGATAAATTTACTTCTGCTGCCTCCGGTATAACGAGATTCACTGTACTTTATCAAATTTAAAGATTTTTGACAGTTCTCTTTAATAATCGCAGAAGTATTATTATTTTTAGAATCAGAATTACGCATATGCATGTTATAGATTACGCAATGCCTCTTGTTAAACCAGAGAAGTAAATTTCTGGTTAAGGTTTATCGTTATCGTTATGATTTTTTCAAATAAATCCGGTTAATTGAAATTCCTTCACAATAGGGCAAATCCGGCTTAACACAGTTCCGGTTTAACGAAAGCCACTATATTAATTTTGAAACATGCAGTGTTTAATTTAATTAATTTTGCGAGGTGATTCAATGCAGTTATGAAGAATCTTTTAACTGAAATAAAATAAATATACAGTATTGTGATTCAACAGAAATTTAGTCAAAATTTAAGGCTTTTTACGTTCAAGCTTTGGATTATCAACAAAGTCACGTGCTAAAACTTTCTTAAGACGCCTTCAAGTCAAATTTCGGCGCTAAATGGCAAAAGGTGTATTAATAACAACAATTTATTTTCAGGATTTGGACAAATGGATTTTAAGTTTTACCTTCGCTCGTGAATGCTGGCATTTTTTAGCGCAGTAGCAAAGAATATAATGTCTACGAAAACAATTAAGACTAACGTTAATATATAAATAACGGCACCAGATCGAGTTAGGAATGAGCTTATTCTTTTCTTGGGAATTACTATTTTACCATCCAGCCCAGCGACATCATGCGCATATTCCAAGAAACAGTTCAAAAAAGCTACATAAAAAACCATTTATCGCGACAATACAACTGTTCTTTTGACCCTTACGACAATGTCCAAGCAACAAAAATTCACGAAAACAAGGTTTTAATCCACCTAGCAAATACCTTTTCGTCGAATACACCAATCCTGAATGCAAAACTGACCTCGGCGCAGACGTAACTTAAAGAAAAACGTTTAGAGGGCGATTCCTTTTACGACCAGTGTTCCACATTTTGCAGATCATATTTCTGGTCCCGTGACAAAACTGCTGTTTAAAATTGTCTCCAAATTTTAACAGTCTGCAGAATTTTAAATCAGGTAGTAAATTTACAACTACATGAATGTCTTGGCGGATAATTATCTCAATATTAATATGCAGAAATTAAAATTTATTATGCTGTAGTAATAAAAATTCATATTGCACAAATTAACGTTAATGTAACTTTAAGCTGAACATTTTTGTTGATTTAGTAAAATTTTATTTAATCACGAGTCAAAGTGATGCCTTAACGTTAGTGATTACGTAACTGCTACAATTATCAAAATTCCATGCCTCAAATTTTGGGATATCCTAGAAATATTATAGATAATTTTATCCCAGTCTTTTTAAAAAAGAGGCTAACTATATGGCAAAAATTGTCCCGCCATTACTTTCCGCCGGAACTGTATATATTATAAAATTCTTATATTTTATTCTTATAGAAAATATACAAATACTGTAAAAATTTTTGTTTCTTAAATTGATTTGGTTCTATAAAAGCTCAAAATGTGAAACTTTGTACATATAGTTTATTTGATCAATTTTGGGGGTCTTATTATTCATTTATATATAGAGTTTAAGTTCCATAATTCACTGTATACCGATACTATATCTGTTTGTTATGTTTTAGGATTTAAAATTCCATGTAATAAATTTCAACAATATTAAAAATTAGAATTAATTATTTCAGTCATGTCAAATCAATAATTTTGTTTGGCTGCGTAGACTATAATATTACTAGATATATCGATATTGACTTACTTTTTATTATTAAAATCTATCGCTATATTATGTGAGGTAAGAATTGCATGTTTTTACTTAATTTTAATTTTATAATTTTTTTCTTAATTTTAATTTTCTGATTTTTTTTCTTAATTTTAAAAATGCATATTAATTTCGTGACGCAAAAGGCATGAAAATTTCACTCAGTTAATCAGAGAACTAGAAGATGTGGCATTGCTTAAATCTAAATTTAAAGGATTTTGTTTTATGATAGTACTTTTTTGCTTGGATGATATGGATTCTTGGGGTGCAAGGAAACCCGTCAAATTTCCTATTAGCAACGAAGAACTATCGAATTGATGCTCGGAATTCGACGAAATAATGTTGTAATTGGGCATCAATGTTAAATCCTCTTCATTTGAAATTTGATCTGTTGTAACGAGTAATTTCGAAATATCTTGAAAATCCAGAGAATCCTGGAAACTAAACAATTCAAATGGATTTTCCAGTTGCTGCACTGGTGGTGTTGTCAAAAATTCGTCATTAAAATTCGTCCAATCCGCTGTCACATTTAAATCCCCAGGAAATCGCATATTTTCGTCAATATTCGAGTTCTCGAATGTAATAGACTCAACCATTTGCTCATAGTTCTCAAGAGTTGTAATATTGCTGTTGTCATCGGAAATTAGATTCGATATCAATTCTACTGAAAATGAGGAAGACGTAGAATTTTTATTGTTATCCGTAATTTGTTGTTCTTGGTTATTATTTTTTGGCGTGGTGTTAGTAGTTGTCGCCGTAGCTTTTGGGAGTTGTGGGTAAATACGCCATCTTTTGGATTGTTTACGATTCGAAGCTTTCGGATACATTAGATCATGATATTCTTTAGCCTCCTTTGCAATTCTCTTATATTCTTCCTTAACAAAAGGTAATTCTTGTTCCCACGCTTGAGAGGCCATCGAAGAAACAACAGTCATCGGGAGCTGATAACCTTCACTCAAGGCTGCTCTAACAAACGCCTTACGATAAAGAATGAATGCATTCGGAGGTTTAGTTGGTCTATTGCCATTTTTTTGTTTCTTACTAATAAAATCCTCGGGCTCGATATGAGGGGGAAATGGGGGTTTGAACATTGGTGAATCGGTGTTTGTGCTGACTTGATTAGGGTTGACTGGATCACTCGTATTAATAAAGATTAATGGGCGAGAATTGTTAGCGTTAGAGGAGATGCTAATTGAACTAGTCATCGTTGTCGACGTGTTTGGTAGTGAGTTAGCGTTAAAGGAGATGTTTGGTAGTGAGTTAGTGTTATCTATATAGGATGAATACATTTTCTATGTGTTCTAGGATCCCCCTAATTGTCTATCTAATTGTTTTAGTCTTTTCGTCCAAACCCAAGATATAACGACAAGGTTTTTCACTCGTATTTATTAAAAATTTTTTTCTTGATAGTTGGAGACACATTTTGAAATCCAATTTTACGTATTCAATAATGCAAATCGCACCTTTAGGAATAATGAATCATTGAATTGCTTAATATAGCAAAAATAGATTTAAGAATGATATGATGTTCGTTGATTTTACTCTGAAAGGAAATTTTCTGATGCTTCATGAAGTTCCAATTTTTATTAAAAAATTTGGCGGTAACGGTAAGTGTTGTGGCTGATTTCTTTATCAACAACAACGCAAACTTCCGTAGTTTATTTTCTTAAATGCCGATACGCATAATCAGTGTTGGACCATTCGGACTTGAGAACGTATATAAAAGTGACAACACTGCTTGCAATACCGAATTTAAAATGCGTAATGATGTTTTAATATACGAAAAGTAATTATTCAGTTATAGTCGGTCCTAAATGTTTTCTTAAGGGAATGTGTTTCAAAAATAGGCCACAGATCAAGCCTGCTCCAGCTGTCGGAGTGGCAAACATAAAACAACTTGAAGCGCCTTAACATATGCATGAATCACAGTCGCTTCAAGATCAGGTGGTAAACTTCGTATGAATTTTTCACGTCGTGGAGTTGTTGCGAAGTTGATGGTAAATCGTGGAGATGCGATCGTAATGCAATATTTAATAATGTACTTCAGATGGCAACACCAAGAACTCCACCGGTCGTTCTCCAAAAGGTACAAAGTGCAGTAACTACAGCGACGTCTTTAAAGTCGACTGCGTTTTGTGCTACAATGAGAGATGTTTGCATACAAGAACCAAGACCAGACCCGGCGATGAATAAATAACCGATTGGTTTTCCTTGGTTGGAATTTTCGTCAAGTGTGACCAATAATCCACAACCGATTGTTGTTAGAGCAAATCCCAATAATATCCAAATTCGATAATTTCCTTTAAATATGTTGAAAAAATTAATATAAAATTAATTAGCGACAAATTTAATTCTCATATATTGTTACCTGTATGAGCCGTAAGTATGTCAGAGACAGCTGAAAATATTACAATTCCAGCAACAAGTGGTGATAACTTTAGTCCAGCAACTATTGCACTATAAAAATCGAAAGCATAAATATATTATTATACTATAAGAATCATACATTATGTATAACTGAAAAAACCTTACCTAACGCTCATTATCGTCTGAAAGTACAAAGGAACGTAATAAAGCAACGCGTAGAAAGAAATACCAGTAAATAGAGATGCTAGAAACATCGCTAACACATTTCCACCTTCTAGGAAAAGTCGTAAGGGAATAATTGGCTCCTTTGCAAACTTCATTTCAACAGATATAATGGCACAAGCTAATACGAAAAACACACAGAATAATGATATAACGACTGCCGAATCCCATGCATATTCCCCAATTCAAAGATAATAAAAGTGCAAACGACTGATAATACAAGGAAAAATGTGCCTATCCAATCAATTTTTCTTTGAAAGAACCGTAAACATGTGGTAAACGAAGTATAAATATAACAACAATGACTGTGAATGCACCTTTCAATTGAAATTGAAATTAAAATTAAAATATAAAGATATAAATGTCAAAAACATTAATCGAATCAAGAAAATCAAATTTCATTAAATCTCATACCGAGTGGCAAATTTAATAAGAAATGCCCTAAAATTGATAAATGTTAGCCCAAATTTTATTCAAATTGAGAACAATAAGTAAAAACCTATCAACGCCAAGTCAAATGATCTGTAAATGCACCACCCACTAAAGGACCAACTACTGATGCCAGTCCATAAATGCCACCGATTATACCCAAATACTTTCCTCGCTCACGTAAGAGTACAATATCAGCGATAATAATCAAACATAATGAAATTATGCCGCCACCGCCAAGTCCAGATACTGTGCGACTGATAATCATCATCGACATATTTTGCGAAATACCACAAAGCAGTGAACCAAGTTCAAACACACCAAGAGCAAAAATAAATGTAGTTTTTCGTCCAAAAATATCAGAAAATTTCCCGTAAAATGGTTGAAATGCGGTCGAAGTAAGCACTTATTAAAATTTAATTACATGTATAATTTTTTGTTCTGCCAAATTGATCAATTACTCACAATATGAAGTTACAACCCATGCTATATCTGATAATGCATTAAAATCCGAAGCGATCTTTGGCAATGCAGTAGCAACTATTGTAATATCAAGACATCCAAGAAAAATTGCCAGTGAGAGTCTAAAATAAACAATTAGAGATATTTAGGCTTTCATGTTTTAGAAATCAGTGCGGATAATTTACTCTATAAACACTGTAACAAGTCTTTCAAAAGAAAGTAGTGCAGATTTATCCTCAACTGGTTCACTCGGATCATGTACAGATTCCTTTTCATTTTGTTCGTGTATCATTTCGCTATGAACTGAAATACTGGCAGTATCTTTTTGGATTTCCATTTCGACTATGGTTGTTTGTGTTGTTGAAGTTGAAGTGGTCTCAATTCCGTTATTTTTGACATATTATATATATTTAGGTTAATTCTTTACTATTGGAGAATATCTATGAAAGAAGAGGAATCAATCTTGAGCTTTTAAAGCTTATATTACTTATATATGAATGGTCTATTTTTATCACATGATCATCAAAATTTTGACAAAAAAGAGTAAATTTTTTGCTTTGATCTCTAGTCAAAAAAAACTTTTTTCGCAAGTTATAGATTTCACAGTGAAAGTTCTCTTTTCAACTAGACAATCAATGAAAAAAGTCGGCGAAGAAATGAAGCACGATTCGTTTGACCAATTCTTTCATCCAATCAATTTCGAAAAATTAAAGTGCTAAAGTAAACTGTCCACTTCTATCTGTACACATGCATTCCCGGTTAAACAAATAACTCACAAAAACAAAGTGATTCTTTGACAACAATACCAGATGAGAAACTTTAACGGTATGTCCTAATAAAAAAGCAGCATCAGTAAACAGCAATAAAAGTTGTCCGAATTCTTTAGCAGATGTATTTCGTTGTATCACATCCGTACTAATCATTTCATGTTTTAAATTAAGTGATCCGAATATATTAATAAATCAGATGTTTTACGATTTATTTTAGTTATTAGTGTAATGATTTCGTAACTAATTACATATATGTCATAAGCCGTAACTGCGTAGTTATGACATATGTAACTCTGAGGGTCATAAGTTTGCAACCCTAGTAATGATTGAAAAATCGACGTGTAGTGTGGTTTCGGTTTAGTTTTCGTTTTTTAGGTTATATGCGTAATCTATTATAACCAACTTGTGTTTCTTATTAAATATCGGTTCTTCGAAGCACTACCAATACATAATAACCACCATTTTAATATAGGAAAACCTAATGACAGATTTTCAAAATTCTGCATATGCATATACGTACATGCAAAAAGAATTTTTCAGAAAATACCCGATCAAGAAAATCGGAGAATTTCCCGATTAAACATCTCTTGGCATTTTGAATTCTAATTTAATTTTTAAAATTCGGGAATAGAATTTTATATCATTATTTAAGTTACATATCCTTAGGATACATACATGTTGTAGAAAAAAAGTATAACTTCAAAGAGGTTGTGACTGTATGGAGATCAATTTCTATACTTCATAATAATTTTTAGATTAATTTGAAAATATTATAATTAAATTTATATTTTAATTATAATTCGAATCTCTATAGAGTCATAATCACACTCCAGTCATTACGAAAGTCTGATTCCAAGGATATAATTATATTAATATCTTTATTGTAATATACAAATAAATAATATTTCTAATACTTTAAACTTTCAATTTTTGGGTAATTTATCATAGGTATGTATTTGATTTTTTATTTTTGTTAGGTTATTGTTGTACGATATTTCTTTTGTTCAATTATTTTTTACTTATAGAAAGAGAAAATCTAATCGCATTAGATAATGTTGAGCCTGTAATTGAATATATCGTATCGTATAATATCGAACAAGATGATGTTGTAATCTGTAGTATAAAGAAGATACGAAAATCATTTAACTAACAATTATAATCAGATCACAAATTACAAAAGAAGTTTTGGTAGAGTGACTTGCTAAATGTTCTTCCCCCTGCAAATCAAATTTATATTAACCGTGTAAGGCTCATATTAACGCATCATTATCTAAGTAAATATCTCCTAGAGAGACCTTCTACTATAAACAATAATTTATTATTGAATTACGAGCGCTTTGGATCTATGTCAGCATATAGTGAATATGAGTTTAAGACGAGTGTAATCAAAAATTTCAACTGCATTGGAGGAAAAGCCTCAATTAAACACTACGCGCTTCACCATTCATAAACTTTTCGATTGTAAGCTTTTTCTCTTTCTATCAATAATGGAATGGAAGAATACTGAATCATAGAAATAAAATAAATCATAGAAATGACTAATTTTTAGCTCTAAAATTCTAAATTTTAATTTTTTCATAAGATTTATTTATAAAAAAGATGTTTAAAAAGATACACATTGTATATAAAAGCATATCGATATAATTTAAATAGTAGTTTTTTTAGTGGTGATTCATGAAACAAGTTTCTCTATATTTTCAGCTCTTTATAATGAATGAATCGAAAGAGAAATCTTTGCACTTGCTGATAATTATCATAATTACTGTTATTATCAGAATAGAGTAACTTTGTGATTTAAGATTCTAATGATAGAGATATGTATCAAAGGTGCTGATATTTTTATTGTCACTATTGTCGAAAATACTATCAATGTCAATGTGCTCGTTTTGAATGTTAATATTGTTCACTTCAAAATTCGCAATAAAAGTAGATGGAGACGAATAATTTGTGGTTAAAATTGCTGATCCATCTTTATCCAATAAATAATCGTTAGCTGGATAATCATCCAAAAAATTTATTGGAAAAGAATTTTCGGTGGTATTCATTTGTTCAAATTCCAATAAATCCATCTTTATTTCCTCATCATCATCATCATCATTATTATTATTATTATTAAAATTACCAGTATTAATGAAATCATTAATATCGAAATTATAACTAAATTGATTTTGTTCATCCGTAAAAGCATCCTTTGATTGACTAAAATAGGGAATCTCGCTATAGCATAATTCAACCTGGCTTATATTGTTTGCAGGTTCTTGTTTTACACCACTTTCATTATCTACGTTAGGAATTGTCTCAAAACTCTTTTTACTCGAGAGATTCGTATTTACAATTTCACTAATATGATTTTTATCACTCATCGTTATCCAATACTTCTCGAACCCTTCTTTAGCCTGATGAGCTAATTCGCGATAATAGTTTTTTACGATAAAGGGTTCATTCTCCCAAAGTATTCCTGCAATCGAAGAAAGTTCGCCCATTGTAGGACAAAATATATTTCTTGGAATTTGTTTTTGTAATGTCATTCTATAGGCCATAAACGCGTTGGGGATCTTACTGATTTTCCCATTGTCTCGAAGTTTCGCAAGTGAATTCGCCATGAGTTCGTCAACTGTGGTGTTTGGTGGGAAAATGGGGCTTGTAATCTTATGTTTGGTAATTAATTCAGAGATGTCTCTTTTAGTATTGGATATCATTTTGATTGAATATTCTATTGAACTATTATTTCAGTTAATAACGCAAATTTCTATACTTTTTTCAAAAACGACGTGGCAGCTAATTTGTAATATACCTAAAAAAAAAACTGCAAGATGACGTGACGTCAATCATTTGGTTGCAAAATTCCGCATACGTATATCGATATCTGTAATTGCAATTTGGCTAATTTAGCAATGAATAGGAAATGATGCTATGTATACTTTAGTTTAAAATCATGCTGACTCATGCATAATTTGGACTTTCTAAGCTTGATTATTAAAGAATGAATAACGGGTTAGTTGCGAAAGTTCTTGGCAACAATATAGTTACACAGCAGCTGGATTACTAAGTCCGCCCAAGCCGCAGAATAAAAGGATGTGTTACAGTGGGGACACCAAATGACATCCAATCAAATGGTTATATCTCATAATCTATCGCTATACGTACGTGAAACAAAAAATCTTGATATAACCATTTGATTGGATGACTTTTAGTGTCCCATACTGTAATCGATATCTTATTCGGAGAATGGCTGAAGGGGCAAAGCGAAGAATACCAATATATGTACTTGCTATTGTGATAATTCATTATATCTATTTTTTTCGTGTTGTCTCATGATGATACATCAATTCGCATGACTTTTGTTTAATCTATCACGGATTGCCAACATTACAGTATATAGAATTCATGTCTGTACTACATATAAAAATTTTCTTGAAACCATTTTCTTAAATTTTCAACTAAACCAATAAAAAATGAATCACGAAAATACCGATGAAGAGGATATTCATATTGCTTTGAACGTTGGTGGCATGAAGGTAAAAAGAAATAATATTGATTATTGAATTGAATCATTAAAATCCAAGACGAAATATCAATTTGTACAATTCTGCAATAAATAGTACGAGACCTATTACTCGACACTCCTAAAATATCCAACAAGTTATCTCGCAAAATTCATTGAAAAAGAAGATCCCGATGACAAAGACGAATACTTTATTGATCGGGATGGTCAATTATTTTGGTATGTGCTGGAATTCTATCGGAATGGAACAATTGTTTTCCAGGATCCAGATAAAATGTGTGTCACTTGTGGTCGTGTTGCTACTCGTGAATTATTAAAAGAGGAATTTGAGTTTTATGAGATTCCTTTTACTGTGACGGAGGCTGCTGATAAATCTAACTTGGCTAATGCCGTCACCAATAATGCATTATCGTCTTCTGGTCAAAAGGATCATTATGTTATGGAAAAAGCCATAGCAGCAAAACTCGATGAATTTATGTATTGTTTGAAAGAGGTTTTTGCAAAAATGGTTATCAACTTTGAAAAACAAGTTCAAATCATTTTTTTCGGGCGAAAGGTAATTCAAAGTTCTTACTTAATTATCCGCATGAAAGTCATTTTCAATGCTTTGTCTTCCACAATAGACACATCCAACAGTAAAAACATTAAGCATGAGCGATCATCCAAGCTCTTATCTCGTCCGAACTATTTCGGACTTGGTGATTCCATATGGAAGTGTTGCCGCAAAATTTCTTGAGTCTTTCGAATATGATATTTATGCGTACCTCAGGAGCGAATGTTATGGATTTGAATGGAAATTGCAAAAAGACATGTCAGAAGAAATTGGCACTTGGATTATTGTGACGATAATGGATGAGGGAAACATTAATCGTACTGAAATAATGGAGAAATCATGTCTTAAAGGTGGAAATCTGAAAAGTTGAATGTATTGTTGTCTAAATATGGGAATTTTGTAAATACATGTACAATGTGTAGATCATTAAATTCTTGGTTATTGTTATTGTTATCGTTATTACGTACGTTACGTATTGATTTTAGATTTTTGATCTTTGATTTTAGATTTTTGATCTTCGATTTTGATTTTTGATTTTTCTAGAAACAAATTTTCAATTTAAACACAATAAATAATGTTGCAATTGGTTTTATTGGGTTTAACACTAGTTTTTGCAGTTTATTTGATTGGACGACGTCAGACGAAAATTCTCGTAGGCAGACCTCTTATTGTTGACTAATTAAACAATTTTTTGTGAATGATTTAACTCGGAATTTTTTTTAGAATGAACCTCCACTTGTACACTATAATATACCGATCATTGGACATTCTTTAGAATTCTTCAACAATAGTCAGGAACTATTCAGAAAAGCACATCAACAGGCAACATCTCTAAATTATAAGATTTATCCTTTCAAATACTGAAATTAATCAAACCCGTTTTTTTCAATTGTTTACAAGTATGGAGATATTTTCTCAATATATTCGTTCGGCAGAATTATCACATTTATTTCCAACGAATTGAGCTATGAAATTTTGAACACGAAATCAATGAATTTTCTTGCGTATTTGGAAGAAGTAAATATTGTAAATGTAAATTTCCTTAATGATTATTAACTAGTAAATATTTTGATATTAGAGAATGCCATTAGCGCGACTTCTCAATCTCCATAAAGAAGACTACACCACCATCTTCTCTGATCTCGTTCGTCAAAGAATTGTTGGACGAATGGAAGTTTATAGTGATAGAATTCAGAAATCTCTTTCTCTTGCACTTGATGAGCTGATTGGTGATTGTAAAGGTATATCTGGAGTAAAAATTGTTTGCCTGTTATTTAAATGCAATTGATTAATTGCAACTTTATTGGTATTAGAACCTAAACTTATTTCCAATCCTTTGGATTTATCTCGAGAAATTATCGCGAGATCAGTCGCAACTATTTATGTGGGAGAGGTGTATATACAAAAATGTTTGTCAACATTTTCGTCTCAAAATAACATACGAACTTTATTTTGTTTATCTTACAGGAACTATGCCACGATAAAGAAATCATAAGAACATTCAAAAATTTTGCGGGAGATGTTACCAAACGTGTTCGTACTCCTCCATTCCTGTCGTTTATTCATCCATGGCTCAGCAAGAAACTTTTCATGTATGCGATTTTTATAAAAGGATGATTCACTCTTCATCTTTTATATCGCTTATAATAATAACTCATGATTATGTTTTTCGTTTTATTGTTTAAAGAATGCAGTTCAAATTCGGTGATAATGCAGTCAGAAACCATAGATCTCTATTAATTAGTCGCATTAAGCCAACTATAGAAAAACGACTAAAAGACCAAATCAACTTTGGCGAATCTTATCAGAAACCTGTGAGTTCAATCAAGAGTTTTCGTGGTGAAGTCTTATTCAAACAATAATAAAATCACGCTTATTTTTTATTTGATTTTATAGAATGATCTGATTCAAGATTTGATTGATCATGCTCAAAAAGACCAACAAAAAGTTGATTGTGATCGAATGGTTTCTTATATTTTGATACTTGTATGGACAGCAATTCACACTACCAGCCACAATTTCTTTAATGCATTACAAGGTACGTGCTGTTGAGATTTTCCGTCTCTAATATTTTGAATCTAACAATTCACACATGCTATAGAATATGCAACACGACCAGAATACTGGGATGAATTATTGGAAGAACAGCAACAAGTAATTGCCGGTAATAATAGTGACAAGTTTGAATTGTTGGCGAAAATGCGTAGGCTGGATAGTTTCATTAAGGAATCCATGAGAACTTATGGCAATACTGGTAAACAAAGTGAAGTGATTTATTGAATATTTGATACGAAGGTTTCTCTAATTACACGATTTCTTTTATTTGAAGTTGGGTTAACTCATCAGACGATGACTTCCGAATTCACATTTTCTAACGGATATCAAGTTCCTGAAGGTGAGCACATTTTCAAAGTCCTTTTTTAATTTTTTTGTTAATAATTCTTTTGGGTTCTTATAGGACGCGGAGTCGGGATATATGTTGAATCCATATACCACAACAAAGTACTACAAGGTGCTGATGCGACAGAATTCAACGGACGTAGGTACCTTGAAAAGAATTCTTCCGCTTCACAAATCGGTCGTGATTTTCTAGTTTTTGGACTTGGACGACATGCTTGCCCAGGAAGGTTTCTTGCAGTAAATGAAATCAAATTTGTAAGTCTTTAAGACGTTCGTTTTTTCGAGTAGGAAAACAATCCGACTAAATGGCTTTTTTATAGTTGCTGTCCGAAATTATTTTACGATATAAAATTACTCCGATAAATTCACCGAGAAAAAAGAAAATTATTAAAGCAGGATTTGTGATACCTAATAATGCTGAGGAATTGATATTCGAAAAACGTAGTTGAATAAAATCGATTTTCTTTAAATCTTCACTATCTTAGCTTCTTATATTTATCTCTTTATAAATTA